CTTACTTTCTTTTTCTTTCTTTCTTTCTTTCTTTCTTTCTTTCTTTCTTTCTTTTCTTTCTTTTCTTTCTTTCCTATCTTTCTCTCTTTCTTTCTTCTTTCTTTCCTTCCTTCCTTCCTTCCTTTCCTTCCTTTCTTCTTTCTTTCTTTCTTTCTTTTCTTTTCTTTTCTTTCTTTCTTCTTTCTCTTTTGTTGTCGTCTTTTTTTTTTGTGAGTCTCATTCTGTCACCAACACTAGAGTACAGTGGTGTGATCTCAGCTTACTGCAGCCTCTGCCTCCCAGGTTCAAATGATTCTCCCACCTTAGCCTCCCCAGTCTCTGGGATTACAGGCGTGTGCCACCACACTCAGCTAATTTTTGTATTTTTTGTTAGAGATGGGGGCTTCACTATGTTGGCCAGGCTAATCTCAAACTCCTGACCTCAAGTGATCCACCCGCCTCGGCCTCCCAAAGTGCTGGGATTACAGGCGTGAGCCACCATGCCTGGCCCCTATTTTACTTTCTTCTTCAACATATCGTTAGAATGAAAACATGCTGAAGGGATGATGGTGTTAGAAATTTCCCATGCCACTATCTAATAATTGCCTTAGGCAAGAATGATCAATAAAAGCTAAAATTAATGGGCAAAAGTGTGACGAGAAACAGGATATTTATACAATCTCAAAGTATCGCCCAATAAGATACTTATTAAGAAGATAAAAATTGTAATTTTCAGGCTGGGCACGGTGGTTCAAACCTGTAATCCCAGCACTTTGGGAGGCCGAGGCGGGTGGATCACCTGAGGTCAGGAGTTCAAGACCATCCTGGCCAACATGGTGAAACCCCATCTCAAAAAAAAAAAAAATAGTAATTTTCAGTGGAGAAATATAGCAGACACCACAGTGATCAACTGATCAAAGGGAACATTGGCACGAATGGGACAAATCAGCATCTCGTTGCTCTTGCCATGAAGCACTGAGAAGGCCACAGCCTTGCTGCTGAAATATTGCCGACAAAAATGCATAACTTCAATCTAGTTATGAGGAAACACTGGAGAAATCCAAACCTTGGAACACTCACAGGACAACCAACTTGCCCTCTGAGAAACATGTCGGTGAACTGGGTTCCAAACAGTGTCTCGTGCCTGTAATTTTTGTACTTCAGGGGGCCAAGGCAGGAGGATCACTTGAGACCAGCAGTTTGAGACCAGCCTGGGCAACATAGAGAAACCCCATGTATACAAAAAAAGAAAAAAAATTAGCTGAGCGTGGTGGCATGCGTCTGTAGTCCCATTTACTTGGGAGGCTGAGGCAGGAGGATCTCTTGAGCACAGAAGTTTGAAGCTGCAGTGATCTATGATCACGTCCCTGCACTCCACCCTGGGCAACAGAGCAGGACCCTGTCTCTAAAAAAAGAAATTAAGAAAAAAAACCAGGTCAAAGTCATGAAAGACAAAGAAAGAGGAACTCCTTCAAATGAAAGGGGATTAAAAAAACATGACACCTGCAGGGCGCCGTGGCTCACGCCTGTAATCCCAGCACTTTGGAAGGCTGAGGCGGGCAGATTACTAGGTCCGGAGACCAAGACCATCCTGGCTAACATGGTGAAACCCTATCTCTACTAAAAATAAAAAAAAAAATAGCCAGCCGTGGTGGCACCCACTGCAATCCCAGCTACTCTGGAGGCTGAGGCAGGAGAATCGCTTGAACCTTGAAGGCAGAGGTTACAGTGAGCCAAGATTGCACCACTGCACTCCAGCCTGGGCAACAGATCGAGACTCTGTCTCAGGAAAA